TTTTATCTCACTTTATCTCCTACACAGCGTTTAAGCAATTGGTTTCGTGGAATAACAAACCCTTTAAAATTGCATAAATAATTTCAATAATAATAATAATAATAATAATAATAATAATAATATAATAATTTAATTTTTTTTTCAACCAATTAATTGGTTTGGATCCCTTAATTTTGTAAGTACATTATTCATTATATATTATGCCATTTATAATATTTTATTGTATCTGTGCATATGCACAGGATAATTACTAGTTATTCATAGTCACATTAAATGTATTCATTGCAGTTTAATATCATTTCATATTACAACCAATGAATTGTAAATCCCCTCTATATATAATTTCAGAATGCGTTGAGCCTACGTGGCAAACTCTCATGCTTTGGAGTTAGGCTTTGATATAAATTAATATTTATATTAATTGTATTTTAATATCGTTTCCTATTATAACCATTGAATTGAAAATATATTTTAAAAGCTGATAACTTTAGTATTTCTTATCAGTTTTACATATATAATATATCAAATTAATGATCTTTTGATGAACTTCGATTTGACATCCATATTGTAAATATAAAATAAATAAATTATATTTATCTTTATAATAATAAAAAAATTTATTTATTAAAATTAATTAGAAAATAAAATTATTATCATTTAATATATTTATGTTTAATGTAGTTATGTGCTATAAGGTAGAAATTTTATTATAATATAACACATATAAGTCGCACAAGTAACATGTGTCATACTAAAATATATAATAATATATACTCCCTCCTATTTTTATTATTTATCACTTTGGCTTAATTGATTATTGATAAAATAAATGTCGTTTTAGATATTTTGTTAATATTTTTTCCATTTTTAAACCCTCCATCTAATACACAGTGTCTTTTCATATCCCATCTCCATCGTTTCCCATAACATCCATTAAATAAGTTTAATATTGTCAAGAAAAAAAAAATCTTAATTAGTGTGTTGCATTTGAATTGATATTATGAAGTCCGTTTGTATTTTTCTATCTATTTATATATATATATAAATAATACAAAACAGTAATATATATCCTTATAAATAAAATTTAAATTTATTTATCAAGCTAAATTAAATTATATCAAATAAAACTATAAATTATATTATAAAGTAATAGAAATTGGTATGTATTCTTTGAAAAATGATATTTATTTCAAATCTAATTGGTATGTTGTCAATGTAATAAAAATAAATAATTATTTATATAAATTCTAAAATTACATATAAAGTTAAAAATATGTGAAGCACGACTGATACGACACTTGATGTATTAGGCATCTAATTAAGTAAAAAAATTAATCTATTTTGTTTAATATTAAATAAACATATTCTACACTTATGCATATACATATCACCATATTATTTCTATTTATTTAAGATTTATATTTTTGTACTTATGTAATAGTAAATAATATCGATATTTTTATATGATATAAGTAAAAAAATTCAACGCGGGTTGACATTTTCATTTAATGTATGGGTGTTTAATTATTATGATTAAAAAATATAATTGGACAATTTAATTAAAACCCAAAGTAATGTTTTATTAAAATTAAATTATTTTTTTAAAATCTATATTTTTTATAAAAATTTTCTAATTCAACACCCGTGTAATACACGGGTATTGTACTAGTGTATTTTAAAAGTTAATAATTTTGTATTTTTTATTAGTTTTAGATATACAATATATCAAATTAACCATATCTCCATGATCTTCGATTTGACATCCACATTGTATGTACAAAATAAATTAATTGTATTTTTTGTTAAATTATTGTTATGCGAAATACGCAACGGATTTAGGAAAATTCCCTGAGTAAAATATGCTTAACAGTAAATGAGGTCGGATGACCCAAATTATATATAGTAAAAAAGCTCGGTTTTTGAGTACTGAGTTTACTCTTTGAGAGTGATTAAATTTTCCTTAATTACTATAATAAATGAGAGCTATTTATACTATGATACCCATGGGTATGATTCTCGATGCCCGCACGTTGCCCTTTAATGCGATTTGATGGCGACGTGCAACTCTACAGAGTGGGCCCCGCGTTCGATGATTGCTTCTTGTCAGTACGATGGACATATGTCACGTCTGCATTAAATGTACTATCAGAGGCCGACCCTCTAGGGATTGTGGTCAGCTCCTCCGACGTAGGATAGTCAAGCTCTTCACATAACTTGTTTTGTCTTCGGACTGCTAACTCCATTTCCTTTACGGTCGTGGATCAACCATGGGATGAAGAGGTTGGGTCTTCTCTTTGATCCTTGGTTTACACCGAGCTATTTTCTGTAATAACCTTTTCCTTCGCGCTCTCCTTAAGACGAGGAGGTCGAATGCTTTGCCAATTTCCCTATTTCCCATCGAGCTGATCTTTATTTGTCGATGGGTTGAACTAATGTATTAGGCTCATCTTCGGGCTGGGTGTTCACTTAATCTATACCATGTGTCAAGTGATTAACAAGCTGCCAGTTCGGATGTAAACATACAAGACCCGAGCTCGGGCGGCCCATAACTTGGGTCGGGTCGCCTGAGGTTGTATAAACGACAAGCCTACAGAATTGGTCCAATGCAAGCCCAACACTTTATCTCAAAATTTTAAATTTTAAATTAAACGAATTCCATCGGTTTGTCAGCTTTATGAAAAGGTGTTTCTAGGGCAATCAACCCTTGGGATCCACGCACGTCGGTTATTGTAAAATGACACGATTATTCAAGACAACTTTCTCGAACAGTCTCCTTTTTCTAAACATTTTTTCGTGGTGTGACGTGGCACCAATTCATTGAAGGCTGTAACCTATATATATACCACATCTCAGTCGGAGGGGGCTTGTCGCTTTTTGATCTTTTCGCAATCGTCTTATCTGAGAACTCCAAGAGCATCTACAGTGTATGAGCGTCAATGTCATAATGTCCATGCCACATAGCATTAATTAATTGGATTGTGATTTTCTATAACATTGCTGTTGACATTGTATAATATAACAGTGTAAAACTATCTCCAATGTTTGCTTTCCTTCTGTCATTTGTATGTGTACATTTAATTATTTTCTAAAAAACAAAAATGATAAAGCAACTTATAAAAGATTAACCAGATTCATTGGATAAAACATATCAAGACTCCACCTTTGAGATTTTAATTATTTAATTACATTTATATTTTTAATTTAAAAAGAAAATGTTTTCATCTTCCAAAAACTAAATAAATAATAAAAGTAGGAAAATTAAATTTTTTAATTAAAAAAGAAAAAAAAATAGATTTTATCTTCCCAAAACTATATATATATAATTAGGAATAAATTTTGGAAAGAAAAAATTAATTACGGTAAAAAAATGATTAAGTAAATACAAAGTAGTTTAAGTTTTAAAATATAAAAACTGTAATTACATTCAATATTATTTTTATGTATATGTATCATGTATATGTATCAAGTAAATACAAAATGGTTTAATTTTTAAAATATGAAAATTGTATTATTTTTATGTATCAAGTAAATACAAAATGGTTTAATTTTTAAAATATAAAAAAATCGTGTTACTTTATGTATCAAGTAAATACAAATTTTGACATGTTTACTGTCGATACATTGTTTGCCTTTAAACAGTGCGCTTCACACTAGTCATGCCACGTTGCAAAAACTTTGACCATGACAGAGTCCATTGGAGATAAAAATATGAAGACATTGTCTTCAATGATGACACGACATTCATTTTTTTCCGTTCAACAGTATGCATTGGAGATGCTCTAAGTCTACCATCTTTGCAATTTTAAAGCTTTCAATTGCCGGTAAGATATCTTTTCAATTCTTCGATTCTAGTTAAATTTCATGTTTTCTTCCCAAAATATCGACAGCACTTCTTCGCCACCAAATGAGATGCTGTTTTGGGAGCAACCATCGTCGCTTGCAACAATCACTGCGGTGGCGTCACCGCCATAGGAGATCGTCAATGCGGCGTCGTCACCGGGCAAGGGAATGATCGACGCAGTGTCTTCCTCTAACGATGACGTTGACATGGACCTCGTCGAGGAGACACTCGGGGAAGAGACCTCATATTCCTCCTTCCTAACATTGTGACCGAGTACGTGAGGGAGCTTGGTATCTGCTTTAGCCATATTACTCCAAACGATTGGGTGAAAAATTTAAGTTTGGTGGTCATGTTTCGTCAGGAAGGTTGGCCCGATCTGACTCTCGAGGAGATTCAGCGAACTTTCTCGTTTAAGGAGACTAGCAACAAGTCAAGTTGCTACTATTGTGCGGTTCGTCCTGGCATAAACAAAGAGTTGGTCACCCGACTCACAAATACCTTGCACAGCTTCCAATAAGAGCGGTTTTGGAGGTCGGCTCGTGGAGGTTGAACTGGTGGGACCGGAGACGGCGATCGAGCAAAAAATCGAGTCGCTTCGGGTGACAAGAACAAAAAGCTGTTAGTGTTATATACTAAAGCTTTGCTTTGGATGATATTACACTTTTGCCCTTTATGAATGAGAATCATGTTTGATTAAACAAGTTCTATGTTCTATTGTTTTGCACTTAGATGAGATGGTTCATTAGCGGGTGAACAGAAGATCATCTTATCAGTCACTTGTGAAACAAGAATTATGGTTCACAACCTAGATGGAAATGAACACCCCATCCGAACGGTTGTAGTGTCAACGGTACAGTTGGTCTTGACTGATTAGTTGCATTAGTACATTTATGTATTGAACAGGATCTCAGAGAGGAGAACTTCGTTTTATATTGATCGTCGTAAACGAACTAGGCCTCGGTTAATTATTGCGTTCTCTTAACCCGTAAGATATTAAACAGACATATATATGTTGTTCATATTACTTTGTTTCACTTGGGTGAGATTCAGTTCGCTGGATCAATAATCTTACTTTTCTGGGTAATATTGTTGTATGTATGATGTGTTGTTAAGATATTTATGGTCACCATGTGCGTTAGTTTGCTGATGTCTCCGAAGTGAGTTCATGAAGGATTGTTATGCTAAACCCTGCAAGTGGATTAAATTCTGTCATAATAATAATGTGATGAACGAGCGCTATCTTTGGTAATAAAATATATTAATTAATTCTTAATTGTCAATAATCGAATTAATTAATGGACATTATATCTTAAATATGGGGAGGTAATTCGAGTAATTATTATTGGAGTCTCAAATGTAATTTGAGCTAGGAAAAGGGAGTGCATTAATATTACGTTAGTGGACCGTAACTTTATTTAAGTAATTTGAGAAGTGGGCCTGACCCACAGTTAGTCCATTACTTAAGAAGCCCTATTCCTGTTCTCCTAAGGATCCCTACTGTAGCTTTATATATACATCATTAAGCTCATGAGAAAAGAACAGAAGTACAGATATAGACACGCACGCCGTCCCCCACTCTCTTCTCTCTCTAGAATTTCATTCGAGCTTTATCTTCTTCTTGTTGCTCCACCGGTACAAGTTGAAGAGGTGAACGAGTAATGCGGTAGAAGATCCCGAGGTGACTGAGACATATATTCATCAACCCTGGAGATCCACAGCCGACGACCGCCGCCGCGAGCCACACGACAGTCGACTATCGCTGCCATGAACCAGCCGATCGCAACCAGCCTGACGCCGTGGCGCACGGCCAGCCATTGATCGGGCTCCGATCAATATGATCCCAGCCATCCCGTGACGTGTTGTTCCCAGTCGACTACACCACAGCCCGTACGCTACCCAACGCCATTGATTGGGCTCCGATCGTGTGATCCCAACCATCCCGTGACGTGTTGTTCCCGGTCATCGCGAATTCGACATCAGAAAATTTTAAGCCATAAGTTTTCTATGACAAACCTTTAGATCCGTTGCACATAAGTTTACGTTTGCTATTGAATCCGTGACTTGTACATAAGGAGATCCTCATAGATCCCAACAGATGCGACTAAATGGACCACCACCAGGAGTTGGTGGCGATTTAGAGGGAGATTTGACCTCTTTCATCCGACTATCTTCCTACCGACCGAGGAGGGTATACCGCTTGGGAGCCTTTTCGGGTTTTCATAAGGGGTGGTTCCCTCGATTTAATCAGTCACTGCCCTGATCCTCCCAAATCGTTACCATCTTCCCGACCATGTCATCAACGCGGCTCAGATGCCCATGACGAGTTGGGATCCCCAAATCGAGCAGGCTATATAATGGATGACAAACACGCAATGCCTCGAGTGTTCCATGGGTTCCTGGGTCGAGTCTGGACTGCTGTTGTCGTTTTTGCTGACGACTCTCGAAGGACGATGTCCGAGCTCGAATGGCTTAAAGATCACCAAGAGATCAATGACGCGACAGTGCAGTCCTTGAAGGACCAGCTTAAGAAGCAGACCGAGATTGAAAATAGTTTGGTCCTCGTGGAGGCGGAAAACCTCAAGGTCTCTTTGCAGCTTAAAATGACTTTAGAGGTCCAAGCAGCGATTTCCCAGAAATACGAGCAGGAACTGACCGATTACCAAAAGGAGCTAGCGACCCTAAAGAAAGAAAAAGAAGTGTTGCAGGAGAAAGAAAAGGGGTGATCACTCTCGAAAGAAAATGTCAAACCATTTAATTAATTACTCAAACTTTCTATTAAGTATTTTTCTAACAACTTTTTATATAGATGTTGACATTCGACTTGGCAGACACATAATTAAGTGACACGTGGCATCCGGTCACCTGATGACAATTCCAAAGTAGTAAAAAACCACGACAAGATTGTTGGACTTTTCCTCCATTTCTATCAGATGACTCAGATGGTAACAGAATCCAGACCAAGGTTGTCGGACTATGAAGCATTGTAACATGAAGAACAACTAACTGTATGGAGTACTCTGGTTATATGCCACGAAAAAGACCGATCAGATTCCTACAGACATCGGACTCTAACAAAACATTGAATGCGGAAAAGACATGTGCTAGTCATCCTGTGGAAAAGTGATCGTTTATTGCGGGACCCACTCGACAGTGTTCTACATTTCTATCAAGTCGCGTTAAATGATAATCATGCTAGTAACATGAGAACCTCGAAAGGTGTACCCCTGGGTTTTGCAGTATAAATACCCCGCATTTATTAGATGAAAAGGGGACTCTCTCTCTCTGTCTCTCTCTGTCTCTCTCTCTTTCAAAAAAATATCTATACTAACAATCCGAGCTATTTCATATATATATATATATATATATATATATATATATATATATATTACGAGAGGCGGTCCGACCTCATTTTATATTTGAACGTTCTTAATTTCTTTGAACTTGCTTAATTTCCTGTGAAACTCTGCTTAAACTTAGGGGATTTCCCTAAAACCGTTGTCGCAGAATTTCCATGACAACGGATTAGCGCTAGAGGAAGGGCTCCATCTTCGGTAATGGAGTAGTTTTCGACCAAAAACACCACTACAAGCACAAGATATGTCTTCACCGTCAAGCTAGGAAGCTGAATCTCAACCCCAACAGATTGAACAACCGCATATTCAGCTCCACCGGGTTGAACTGTCGCGCGCTCAACCCCAAAGGGCAGAACCACCACGTACGACTGCTCTTCACACTGTCGTCTTTACGATAATGTTATAGAATCGAGCGTACACTCAACCCAAGAGGGCGGAACCACCACGTACAACCGCTCTCGCCATAATTCCCGTCGTCGCCTTTACGACGATGTTCTATAATCTTGAATTCTTGAAAGGTATGGCAAACTTGATACACTAGTCATGCCAACGACGTCTCAGGCACCACCGTCGATCGTGGATCTGCTCAAGTCACCAGCAAGAAATGACAAAGGGAAAAGTTCTGCCCGGTCCAACTCTACAACCTAACCACCTGAGGGTGTAGCAAGACATCATGAAAAGGCTTAAAACCTAGCTCGAATGGAAATGACAGGAGAGTGTAAGTTAGCCATGGTCCTAAAAGAGAAATCCCAAATCACTCAATGTTTACTCGACTGAGGAGAAAAAGGATTATTAAGACCTCAAGCAAAAGATAACGAGGGATAGAACGACTCGACGATATGCGGATGAATTAGCCATCCAGGAAAAAGAAAAGATTAACTGAGTTGGACGCCCATAAAAAACACGGAGTTCGAGTGTTGTCACTACCATTATCACCCCCTCTATTTCCATCTGATCGAGTCATCGACATGGCCACACCATGACTATGGACATTCTGCGTTGTCCTTTACTAGACAAAATTAAAATTCCTCAAATCGGATTATATGATGGTACATCTGATCCGGGTGCACACATAGGTCTGAATAATTCATGGATATATTTTCATGAGGCCACCGATGCCCTCTGATGTAGGATGTTTTCAGTAATGTTGGGGGCTAAAGCTCAAAGATGGTATCACTCGTTGCATCCGCATTCTATATCAACGTGGTTACAATTGAGGTCGGCGTTTAGATCGCACTTCATCGGCTCCCAAGAATGCACGATCCCAAAAGAGTCCGTTACGAATTTAGTTCAAGGAGTCAATGAAAGACTGAAAGCTTATGATGTTTGATTCAATGAATGGGTGCAAAATATGGAACCATGTCATCAAGAGACATTATTAGTGTTAAGATAGTAAATTTTAATTTCTAACATAATAATATCTAAATTCTACCATAATTTATATAATAAATAAAAAATTTATTATTTGAAAGAAAAAAAAAAAGCGCAGCCTACCCGCAAAACCGGCCGTACACGGTGCGGCCAAGCGGCAAAACTGGCCGTGCATGGTGCGGCCAACCCGCGAAACTGGTCGTGCACAGTTACGGCCGGTTTCGCCTGCCGGCCAGCGGGAGATTTTTTTTTAATTATTTTTTTACTCTTTAGAAAAAATATCAGAGGCAAAACTGTCCAAAGGGGGGCGATATATAGTAATAAGGGAGCGGTAAATAGTAACTCCAGTAGTAATTTGATAAATGAGATTTCCTTTGAATTTTTATTTTTTTTCTGAAACTGTAGGGGTTTTATAAGGCGCACAAAGGTGCGAAGAAAAGCAGCTCAAAGTTGAATGAATACAACTGAGAGCTTAAAAATGAGAGAACAATCAGAAGATCGCCTAGAGACGCTCTAGCAACGCTAGACCAGCACTACCAAACTAAGAAACAAAAACCAACTACTAGCTTCCAAGGGAGAATGACCAATCCCAAAGGGATAATACTCGCTCTCACTCGGGCTCACGGAGGTCAACGGCCCAAACTAAAAACACGAGACCTAACAGACAAAGCAAACAAAACACACACCTAGAAACAACAAATAAAAAACTAAAAGAAGAGCCCTTCCTCAGCAGAGCGACCCAACTTACCTGACGGACAAAAGATGACCTTTTAGAGAAATTCGCAGCTCAACAAGCCATTCCCTCCACTGCCAAACCGCCTAGCTGAAACGGAAACCCAATCCCCGAACCAAACCAGGAACCGACCCGCCCTCCAACCCCCCCTTCCCCCACACACACACACACACCATCATCGCCCTGAAAACGGCTAACACCACTAGCTAATTCTGGTAACATCGGTCCTCCCGCGAACCCATCATCAGAGAATAGGGGAGAATGGAGCAAGAGAGGCATCAAAGCCACAGCTACTTCGACACCACCTGCACAAAACGCAATCGCTCCTCCCAGCTCGCAAAGACACACCCCGGCCCAAGTTCCGCTGCAAATACGAGGAGTCGGCGACCAGATACTGCAAAAGGACACCTGCAAAAGAATAGCAAAACCGGTAGAGAGACCATTGGAGAAAGCAGATGAGAGGAGAGGAGGCACCCCGACGAGGTCTTCGCAAGTAGCTCGAACCAAAAATCCCTTATCAAAATTTGTTACGTCTGTATAAGACAATATTATAGATTTCTTCGAATAATTTCAATAAACCCAAAAGTGTATTGTCGTTTCAAATTTTCCATTATCATTTAATAAAAATGGTGATCTTTTTTAAAAAATTTAAAAAATCCCATCTCTAGAAATTAATTAATCAATTTATGGTATTACTTTGGCAAAATGTGACTTTGGTATAAAGTGATCGATTTTATTTGACATATCTGATTGTCATTTTTTTTTTAGTAGGAAATGTGTTGTTATTAATAAATAATTATTTTTATGATATAAAGTGGACGATTTTAATTTGATATGAAATGTGTGAATTTTATTTAGTATAGATATAAGTGTTTGGAAATTTTAAAAATAAAATAAGTGGTATGAATTTTATTTGGTATAAATATAAAAGACGAATTTTAGATTGATTTGTTATAAATTAAGTTGATATGATTCTCAAATGTAAGCATACTCCCATAGTAACTTGTCATAAGATATTGAAGATAATTTGGCAAATTGGTATGTATTCCTTTTGAAAATAAGAAAGATCTTTGAACAAATATTGGTTAAAAAAAATTACAATTTGTAATTTATTTCTAGAGAATTGGTTGATAAATTCGAAAAATAAACTAACCGACAATAAATAAATTGTGAGATGCAGTGTGTGTGTGTGTGTGTGTGTATGAAATATATAAGGAAATTTATTATGTAGTCCAAATTGGAAAATTTGAATTTAAAAGTCAAATAAGTAATTATTCATAATTTACGGGTCAATATTAACTTGAACGTAAATAAAAGTTAATCATTCATAGTTTAATCAAATTATGCAACTATTTAATTATTTTTTATTTTGGATAGTTTATACAAAATAAATTTATTTTAATTAATGAAACAATATAAATTTTGAATTATACTTATTATTCACATAGTTTTTTAAAGATATGATAAAATTTTACCAAAATAATTATTTTATGAAATCAAATTGTAGTCAAATCGAATTTATGATTAAGAAATCTAAAATATCACTTACTTTGAAATGAAAAATAATGTAATTTATTATCGATTACATGGACCGTACGAATTGTGTACTAATTTTAAATAGACATATTTATTATAATTTTGCAAAATTTAAATTTTACACAACATTTTGAATAAATTAATATAGATAAATGGTATTACATATTGGTTTCCTATTTTTAATTTTATAAATATTATTTAATATGTATTTTTTATTTATAAATAATAATGAATATATCTTGTCATGCATCGCATGGAATTCATACTAGTTTATATAAAATGAGTTAATCTATATATATATATATATATAATAATAATAAGAATTACCATTTTTAAAAAATGGCAGGTTAAATTTCGGTTAACATTAATTGCTTACTATTTCTTGGATTTTTTTTCTTCTGTGAACATTAAATCAGCTACCGTAAACAAAATCATACAACAATGCATTTGAATTTGAATTGAGATTTTGAACACAATCTTTCTTAAATTTGTTTTGCCACAAAATCGGGCTCAATTCAAAATCTATATATATAATAAGAATAACTATTTACTAAAAATAGTAGTAAAATATTTTGAGAGCATTTAATGTATACATTTTTTGGAAACTTTTTAAATATATGCATTTATTGCTTCTCTATACACGTTTTCAAATAAGATCAAATCAGATATGATCAAAAGTATCGTATCCTTAAATAATTTTATTAAATCTGCAATAATTTCATTGATATCCATTATAATAAATTACAAGATTAATTTTCCGTGATTCATGTTGATAATATTTTGATCAAGATAATATTACAACATATTTTAAGTTCTAACCATAATATTATTTTTTTCACAAATATTCACTTTTTATCAAAAAATATTTATAAAAAATCACAACAGGTTAGATAGAATTTTTTGAATTTTTTCTTCCAATTAGTTAGGCGAAATCAAGTTGGTGAATTAATCATTGCCAATATAATTTTTTCATAAGTTTTATTTCTTTATATATACAAAACAAATTATTATTCAAATTAATATAATTTACTATTTAACAGATAATGATCAGATACATTAAATAGTTTTAGTAATGATAAAAAAATAAAATTAAAGTATAGTAACTGTTCTTTAGAATTTATTTGTATATTATTGACAACTATGATTATTTTTTTTATCATTTTCTTTATTTATTTCTATAATGAAATTATTGTAAAATATATTTTCATTACAGAGTATGCTAAATAAACTATAAATCCTTATAATGCAAATTAGAACAATTGTTTGGCATTTGCTAAATATAAGTTGTTAAATTAGTATACAAAATTAAATTCTAAAAAAATATGTGTATATATTTTGTAAAATATTTATACACTATTTAATTTTTAATTTTATTTACATATTTTAAATCGATTACATAAATAAATAATACTAATGTGAATTAAATATTTTTCATTACATAAAATAAAAAAACAAGGACGTATAACTTCTATAACTTTTATAAATAATAATGACATTATATGACAATAAAGTTTATGATAAAATAATAATTAATAATGACACTATATGAAAACAAAATATATAATAAAATAATAGTTTAAGTATTATATGGTGAACAAGAATAAGTAAAACTGTTATTTTCTCTTATATCAAGAAACAAATATATATACTAAAATCAAATTTATATTAGTATAAATGTGTTAGTGAGATAATATATTAATTATTTTACAAGTTAACCCTAACACGCTCATATATAATGTTCTAGCTAAATAAACAACGCTGATTAAAAGCGGTGGAAAATATAATTACTTTGTTTTTAGACTTAACGATAAAATAGATGATAATTCTATTACCTTTTAGACTAAACGGACAGAGTATGTGAAAATAACTCATTTGATATCTATGTCAGGTGCATCGCATGGGGTTCCTTCCTACAATTAAGTATTTTGTTCAAATTGAATTTAAAAAATATCTTATCACATGTACTATTGTTGGTCGGCCAAATAAAATCATTCCTTGAAAAAAGGCTTTTGCACCATTCTAAATTAATAAACCTCTTGATAAATACCCAATTTGTAGAAACTCTTAATGGATTAGGAGAAATCAATTCAAAATCATCTATTTGAATATATAGAATGGACGAATTTCAAATCAATTCAAAAGTCCACATAGGACCAAATTGTGACTTATCCACATATTCCTATAATATCTCTAATCAATTAATTTTTGAATTAATCATGTAATGATAATTATGGATCCAATTGTGACTTATCCACAATCCCAATAATATCTCCAATAATAATTATGGATTATCCACATATCCCTATAATATCTCTAATCAATTAATTTTTGAATTAATGATAATTATATATGGATCTAATTGTGACTTATCCACAATCCCAATAATATCTCTAATAAACAAATTTTTAAATTGAAGTACGACTTTTTTAAAATTTCGTGTATTATAAATGCAGGTTTCTATATTTAGATTGTCAAAGTTTTTTTTTTGGTCAAAAGTTTTTAAAAAGGTATTTTAACAACAACCTTTATATATATATATATATATAGATTACTTAATAAAATTTTCTCTCATCTTTAATTTATAATTATTATTAATATTGTTTACTCGTGCATTACACGCGGTACGCACTAGTTAATAATTAAAATGATAAGATATAGACTGCGTAGGAAAGATGATAATTTAGGAATCTAAAAATATAGTTATAATTCTATTAGGAAACTAACTGCCAAATCAATTAATTAGGTAAATCGTACTACATTTGGTGCTATGAAATTGCGCGTACACCATAGTACATGATATATTTTTCAAATAATGATCTGCATTAGTACCTCATATTTTAGGAAAGTCCAGCAGATTGTCTTTCTATTCCCCAACCGACGCGAAAGATTAGCATAAATATATGCTAATTAAATTAATTATTATTTCTATTACTATGAGGCATAGTGTTTGAGATTGATCAAACTATATAGAAGAATCCGATTTTGTAGGGATTTGCAAATATCCCACTAAAATTCAATATGGAAACGTACCATTGTTATAGGGATCCATCCAAAACCTATATAAACAAGATACGTGTGACTTGAATTTTATTTTTCTTGTGTCATCATCAATATAATAATAATAATTTCTGGGGTTCATTGGGTTGCCTCAAGAGCACTTCTCCACAGAGTTGCGATGATAAGGCATGGCTTCATTCACTTGATACTCTCTTTTTCTTTTTAAATCTATTTTGTTTATTGAATTTGCACGTACATTTATATGTCTCTACTTAAATAACTAATTTTAAAGCATTTTATTTAGATCTTGTTATATTGATTGCATGACATATTATTGTAGAGAGATTGTTGTGTAACTTGGATACGTATTTGGTTTGGTTTGTTTTGGTATATTATTTAATCAGTTTATGTGAAATTGCTGTACTATATTTATGGAGTAACACGAACAAAATAAAAATTAATTAATTTATGATATGAAAATTCCCAAGGAACGTCTCGTCGGAGGCATGCCGTCGCCCGAGGGGCTGACATATGTTCGGTGATGGCGCGTGACAGCGACTTTCTGGCTGTCAACCAGTAAGACCGTGTTTGTTTGGCTGCAATGCATATTCTGATTCCATATTTTTTGCTTTCTCACAATTAATCGGACGCAATTATTAAGTTCATCGTGTTTTGTGTCCAATTATGCATTTCCTCTTATTTAATATTTTAATTTAATCTGCCTGAATTCATATTTACGTGAATTGCGTTGTGTGTTGTGTGTGTTTGTTAGAATCATTTTAGGTTTAGTTGATGAAAATTCAAAGTGCAGTCTACGGAATTTTTTCCTAGTATCGGGATAATAGTTCAAAGTTCAAACCATAAGTTTAATACTAAGTTTTATATTCTATTTTTAAGAAAAACATTACAAATGTCTATCGATCTATTTACATAGTACAATTTTGGATATAATATACATATTTTCATATTCACTATTCATTACTTATTATGAATAGGAGAGAGTATAATTTTTCGTTTACTAACAATCACTTTCAATTTTTCTTTTTCTTTGTATTAGTTTTGTTTATATTTATCACTTCATGTATTGATATCTAAAGAAAAAACAAAATGGTAGGAAAATTATTTTTCTGATGACATTTAGTGAAACATTGTTAAATTAATATTTAATTTATTTATCAATTATTAGAAACTACTCCCTTCTATTTTTATTATTTGTCATCCTAGCTTAATTGATCATTTGTTAAATAAATATCATTTTAGCTATTTTGTACATATTTTTTTCCATCATTACCCTCATCTAACTAATAAATATACTTCGTCTTTTCATATTCACTCTCCATTTTTTCTCAAAACATCAATCTCTATCCAATAAATATACTACGTCTTTTCATATTCATTCTCCATCTTTTTTCAAAACATCAATCTCTATCCTTATTAATGATGGTTATTATTGACAAAAAAATATTTTTAATTATTGTGCAACTTCTCAAAATGACATTTATTAAAAATAAGAGGGAGTATGTTTTTGTTGTCATATTTTGGATAATTTTCATAAATATAACAAGGTAATGAGAGTTTTAGTACAATTTTCAGTATCCAGACCTGCACCATTTATTGAGTTCGCCCCAAAAGCTGCAAGTCGGGCTAGAAAGTTGTGTAATGATTTCACTATTTTCTATTTTTTTCATTTAAATATTTTGAAATAGCGAAAAATTAATTACCATCCTTTCAAGTTCAATTACCAAACTCGTTATTGCTATGGTTTCATCTGTTTATTTTCAATTTCAAAATCTCCATTACCTATCTGCATACATTTCGACAGACTAAAAAAGTAAACAAAATAGTAACTCGAACCAGAGGGTAATTGATTTATTTATTCGGTCCTAAAGGACCAAACCATAGATAAATCATGTATTCCCTCTTTTTCATTTTTATTAAAAAATAACCTTTATATCTTAAAATCCTTAAAATATTTCAGGCATCCGCAAGTGTGCAACCAAAAAAAAAATAAAAATAAAAAAAATAGGGGTATTTAGGACTTTGGACTTATAATTTTTTTTTTTAAAAAACTTTGGACTTATATTAACACTTCAATTTTTTTGAAAAATTAATCCGTCGTTCAAAGTTTTACGGTTACTCCCCACTACCGCCATACTTTGGCCTTTTTATTTACCTCTTTCTTGGGATAAAACACCATTTCTCCTCGAACAACAAATATTCTCTGCAACCCCCTAAATGTACTACTACCTTGCTACTATTCTCTTGGAAGAAATTTGAGTAAGTTCAGTTTAAATCAGTATTTTTCCTTTTTGTGTTCCTTTTCTTTTTATTTCTACTTATTTATTTTTGGTTTGGAATAGAGATGTGCATTGTTATTTGTTGGTCCTTGAAAGCTACTTGAATTGTTATTCAATTATTTGAATTTATAGTTTATTGACTATTGAGTGACGCACAAGTTGGAAGGACTTGAGTGACTGCACAATTTTTATTTGGCCAAAGTAATGTTTGTGTTCAGTTTTTGTCCATGCTCAAGTGTGTAATCTGTTGTTTTCACATATTAGAAGTGTTTCTGTTAAATCATCAAAATTTTATAATTTATGGCAAAATTTAAAGAATTTGATGAAATTTATTGAGTGTTGCGGTATGTTCCCCATTTCATGGCCTTGAATTTCATGGTTAGTGTTTGTTTTAAGGGGAATTTGTTCAAAAGTTGCAAAAACAACTATCTTCTGTTACAGCACTTCATATCTCAGATTCTGTGAAATTCCTTGGTCATGAAATTGCTATATCATTTTCTTCAACAAATAAGGCTAACCTACTTCAGTTAGAAAAGAAAATTATGACAGTTTGCAAATTTTTTATTTGCGTTCATCCAAAAATAAATCTAACGTCCTTGAATAGGTATCCTGTTTTGGATATGTCAACGATGATTTCATGTACACTTGAGTACGTTCTGGACTAATATTTTATTGCTTTTTTTCAGAATAAAAGCATTATGCCCACTTTTGTCTTATAGTTTTTCTGGCCTACCTTTCAGAACCTCAACATAAGTCAAGACTATTATCGCATTGTAGATATAGTGGAGTCTAAAATGTGGGGAAAGCAAATGGATTATGTTGTTCAAAATGAACCAATTGATCCCAAGAAAGGTTCATCAAAGTTCCCGCCCATCAATGATTTACCACGTCGATTGAAGTGCTCGAAGGAAATGTGCAACTCTAGTATTGAACTCTCTTCCAAAGATAAAAATAGAGTGGATGAGACTCTAAATCTATTTCGAGATGTATATAGAGAACTACTCCACAAACACAAGAGAGATCCAAAGCGAGAAGGCCAAGTTGCTAGAAGGTTTGATATACATGCCGCTAATATCCTTAGGAAGAAAGGGAAATGGATAAATTCGGTAAGTCGCTTTGGACATATTCCTGGCGTTGCTATTGGTCATAAGTTTCATTTTAGGGTTGAACTTGCCATCGTTGGTTTGCATTGTCAGTATATTTCGGGTATAGATTACACTATGCTTAATGGTAAGAAAGTTGCAACTAGCATTGTCAACTCGGGTCGTTATGAAAACAAAGCTAAAACGAGTGACATTTTGATATACTCGGGTCAAGGTGGACTAATGAATGGGGGGATGAAAGTTGATCAAGAGTTGAAACGTGGCAATGTTGCTTTGGTGAATAGCATGGATGAAAAACGTCCGGTGAGAGTGATTCGTAAAATGATGAGGGGCTCTTCTGATTTTGGATATACATATGATGGGTTATACATGGTGAAGAAGTTTTGGCAAGAAAAAGAAAGAGTTGTTGGTAAATATGTGTTCAAATTTGAACTACATAGAATGGCGGGCCAAGAACAATTACCTCTAGAACGTACGAAGCCAAGAGGCAAAGAATGTTGCATGTTAATGGATGTCTCTCACGGAATGGAAAATTTTCAAATACGTGCGATGAATGGAAGAGATTGTGAGAAGCCGGACAAGTTTGCTTATATAACTAACAATATATATCCGGATGGGTATATAAAGGTTAAGCAAGATGGTTGTGATTGCACTAATGGCTGCTTAAATTCACGACATTGTGGTTGTATATTAAAGAATGGAGGTGAAATACCTTATAGCGAGAAGGGTTTTCTTCTACGACGGAAGGGTATGGTTCATGAGTGTGGTCCGTCTTGCAAATGCCCTCCTTCTTGTGTGAATAGAGTAAGCCAGGTATGTTCCTCTAAACTAAATATAAAAACTTGGTTACACTTTGTATGTTTCCTTTTTTTGTTATTTTGAGAAGTTATGTATGACTATAAATTTATGCACTTTTGTTAAACAATTATGTCACAATAAGAGCATCTTAAATGCTCAATTTACAATGTTGTAATTGAATAAATCAAAGAAGAACATTTTAAAGGCTCAAATATTTTGACTGAAAAAACATGTGAAATGTCACAAATTAAATGGTTGCTAAGCCAAATAGGATTAATATGGAAGAATTTTAATAATTTATACTTCTAATGGTGTGTACTTAAATAATTTATATCAAAACTTATTTTTGATCTATATTATTTTCGAATTGTAATTTAGTATAGCGATTTATTATTTTGCGACATTTTCGTTCTCTGGAAGGGATTTAACCTTTGAGCTTTAGTTTTAATGATTAGGAGCACGGAATCCCCACTAGTTTTAAGCCAAAGATATGTCTGAAATAGGACGGTGAAGTTGAATGTTGCAATAGGTGCATTGTTGATGAATTGGAATGGAATCATCAAATTTGAGGGTTTCTAGGGAATCAGATGATATATAGAGATATTAGGAAGTAATCTTTTTATGATCACCAGGAAGTAATCTTTTTATGATATCACTAGGAAGTAATCTTTTTATGATATATAGAGATAGAGATATTAGGAAGTAATCTTTTTATGATCACTTCTCCAACAAAATTTGAGGGTTTCTAGGGAATCGGATGATGAATTATTGTTGATATTAGGAAGTAATCTTTCTATGATCACCTCTCCAACAAAATTTGAGGGTTTCTAGTGAATCGGATGATGAATTATTGTTGATCACGAATAATATGTTGAAACGAGAAAGATAATTGGACAAATAAACTAAATAAGAGGGTGCTTGGATACAAAACTTCTAAAAAATTTAATGTCGAGGGTGTCGGAAATAGGACGGTGAAGTCGAATGTTGCAATAGGTGCATTGTTGATAAATTGGAGTAGAATATGGATCTAGGACTATTAGAAGATATCAATAGAGATATTAGGAAGTAATCTTTTTATGATCACTTCTCTAACAAGATTTGAGGGTTTCTAGGGAATCGGATGATGAATTATTGTTGATCACAAATAATATGTTGAAATGAGAAAGATAATTAGACAAATAAACTAAACATTAAGAGGGTGGGTACAAAACCTCTAAAAAATCCAAATATTTTTAACCGAACCACTTTTTTAACTCAACTTTAACTTAATTTCATTATCATCAATATTGTTAATATAATTAGATAATATCAATAGATAATTCTTACATACTACATCAACTTTAATTCACTATTTATTAACTTACGTAGTTTTAACCAACCATCACTTCACATTATCTGTCTTACTTTTACATCAAATCAACTTTAGTTATTTTATTTCAAATATTATTTTAATATGCCCACTAACAACTTATCAAAACCACCTTTTTTATTATCAACCAAACCAAACCAAACCAAAAAAATCCAAATAAAACAAAAAAATTTTATATCCAAGTATAGTTATTGAATAGTTCTGTCACAAAATGAAAAGTTATTGTGTTAAATTGATATCTCAAAAAGTAATTGTACTAAACTACAATGACCAAAAGTTATTAGATGGAAATTATAATTTTCTCAATAATTGTGGAATTTATAACTATAAAATTCACGGACACTTTACACATTTTAGACAATCTAAAACATTATGTACTTGTTTGACAGGGCGTGATTGAATACAAATATATCCACTCAAAATGAATTTTTTTGGCTAACCAAAGTTAATTCTAAAAAAGCTAGTATGAAAAGTTAGTATGGTTAGTTATTAATGAGATTTTGAGTTTATATTTAAATATTATTAAATAAAAAATAATTAAAGTTGATTTGATGTAAAAGTAAGAGAAATGATGTGAAGTGATAATTAATTAAAATTTATGTGAATGAATAAATAGTGAATTAAAAGTGATTGTGATGTGTAAGAATGATTGGTTTGTATTATTTAATTATATTGAGGATAGTGAAGTTGAGTTAAAGCTGAATTTGATTTTGATTATTGATTTAAAATTTTTGTAAAAAAACGCCCCTTGAATATTTGTAAATATATCATATGTAAAATCAAATTTTCCCTCTGTTGGTTCATAGAATATAGAAGAGAATGTGAATAATCTAAGCTACATTGTCCACATTATCCTCATCATTAATACTTTGGTAATCACTTGTGCATTAGATTATATTAAATGTAGACCATATACATTATACTCATCATTAATACTTTGGTAATCACTTGTGCATTAGATTATATTAAATGTAGACCATATCAACCTTAATGATGTGGAGTCTAATATAATGTACTACAACATAAAGCCTTGCACATCTTACAAATTTGTATTTATCTCCAATATAACATGAGTTTTAATTGTTTTCTTTACAGCACGGTCCACGATATCAGTTAGAGCTTTATCGTACCGAGTCAAGAAGGTGGAGTGTGAGATCTAGAAGTTTTATTTCAATGGGGAGTTTTGTATGTGAATTTATTGGAAAAGTGAAGGGCGAGGATGCTATACGAAGTATGAATCTTGACTTGCAAAGATTCTTGAGCACTATAATTTTACCGTCGAAGAATGACAATTCTTATACGTCGGCAAAAATTCCCCTCACACCAAATGAAAATGTGGTGAGGTTTGCTATTGATGCATCTAAGGTTGGAAATGTGGGGAGATTCATCCGCAAGAGCAGCACACCCAATCTTGTTGCCCAATGTGTAGTTTATGACCATGATGACTTGAGAATGCCACACGTCATGTTCTTTGCCACAAGGAATATACCTCCTTTGCATGAGCTAACTTGTGATTCTGTCCTCGGTATTGATTGAAGTACTAATTTTGTAGATGTCAGGCTGCTATGGTATGTGTAATAGTTAAGTTATCGTAACACAAGACTTTTGATTTATGTTTTGGTTGCGTGAAAGTAGTGGTTAAAGATTTTTGTTTAGTGTTTGTGCTTACCGCATCTCCAATGAAGTGGATTTCTCTATTATATTGTCCTTATGCGTGATTGAATTCATTATTATTGTTATTATTTTTATTATTATTTTTAATATGCGGCGTACTTCATAATATGCAACGTGCAAAGAATAACAATATATGGTTCAAATGAGAACCTTTATTTGTATATACTGCTATGATTAATTGCGTTTTAGTGTTATTTTTAACTATGATGTATTTGATTAAAAATAGCAATAACAATATTAAAAATAGCATCATACACAATTAAAAATAACATCAAATATAGTTCTCACGGTTCTCACACCAGACCTAATTTTTATTTGAACTAGCCTATATATATATATTAGGGTTGGGTTCACATGAGAATGGTAGATAGTGAAAGAAATAAGAATAAATAGATAGTGAAAGAAATAAGAATAAATTTATACCTTTTATTTGAACCAACCTATTCGCAGCGAGTCTAAAGGTTTGACGTAGAGAACTTACGGCTTAAAATTTATGTAAATCTGGTTGATCACGAACGGTTGACCGCAATTGATTGACCGCAACTCACGCCTTGGGTTGCACGAACAAGATCAGATCAAAATCGGATCAAACGGATGCAAACATATCAAAATGAAACTTTGCAGCCTGGGAGCTTCCGACGGCGCGTGAGGCGTCGGACGGCTGCGATCTCGGCGGCAATGGAAAGCTCTCGTCGAGACCGTTGTCTGGGTATGCTTTACGTCTCAATCGGACTTCCAGTTAGATCTGTAGGTAAACCGAGACGAAATATATTTTGACCTACAGAACTAATATATATATAGGGTTGAGTTCACATGAGAATGGTAGATAGTGAAAGAAATAAGAATAAATAGATAGTGAAAGAAATAAGAATAAATTTGTACCATTGATCCAACATATCAATGCTCATGATCAATTCAATTTTAATATTTACCAGTCAAATATATAATGACAGTCTTGTAATTAATTGAATATATTATAGTCAAATAAATCCAATTTACCACTAACTAGGGGCAAATTAGACATTGGATAATTAATATGGGCCCACCACCAACCCCACTATCTCTCTCACACCTACTAACACACACTAAATCACCTACATCTTCCCGTGACTCCCGTCGTATTTTCAGAATTCACATAAATGCACCAAAGATGCAGACACCACCAACTCACTGCCGGCCGCCGCCTTCTGCCTGCCGCATTCCGTCCTCCGCCTGCCGCCTGCCTTCCGCCGTCGGCCAGTCTCTCCACAGCCTTGCTCCGCCGGACATACACGATGCCAACCCGCCGCCGTGATCCGCCTTCTGCCACATCTCTGGTCGGCGCATCCGCCGTACAACCCATAGTCGGAGCTTCCGTCGTCCTCCGCAAGGATGTTGGGTCGCCCAAACGACCATCGTCAATCTCCGGTGAAGCTGCACGCCTGTCATCGAAGTTTCTGTTTTGACGCACTCTCCGGTGCCTCCAGCCCACTGCCGTCAGTTCCTCGCTCCTGCGCCTCCGGCAACGTCGGCCGTTACGGGGACGTGACTCTCATCCACTTTTTGCCGTTCGCCGGATAGATCGCCAGAGAATGTAGGAGACGAACGTCGAAGGACCATCGGCGGCGAACATCACCGTGATTTTGGTCGGATATGCTGCAGGAGGGAGATAGAACTGGGGGCATATTTTTGAGAATTTGACAAGGCATAGGGACTTTTTTGCAATTCTATAAATTTTTTTATATTACAATTTAGTTCAAGGGTCAATTTCACAATTAATCAAAATATGATTTATATTTTAACGTTTTTACTTGATTTTGTATTTGTTGTAAAATAAATTTTCATTGCAGAGTATGCTAAATAAACTATAAATCCTTATAATGCAAATTAGAACAATTGTTTGGCATTTGCTAAATAAAAGTTGTTAAATTAGTATACAAAATTAAATTCTAAAAAAATATGTGTATATATTTTGTAAAATATTTAATTTTCAAATTCATTTACATATTTTATATCGATTACATAAATAAAAAAAAAGGACGTATAACTTCTATAACTTTTATAAATTATAATGACATTATAATTGGGTCGGGTCGCCTGAGGTTGTATAAACGACAAGCCTACAGAATTGGTCCAATGCAAGCCCAACATCTTATCTCAAAATTTTGAATTTTAAATTAAACGAATTCCATCGGTTTGTCAGCTTTATGAAAAGGTGTTTCTAGGGCAATCATGAACCTTGGGATCCACGCACGTCTGTTATTGCATAATGACATGATTATTCAAGACAACTTTCTCGAACAGTCTCCTTTTTCTAAACGGTTTTTCGTGGTGTGACGTGGCACCAAATCATTGGAGGAGTGTAAAATTTAAGTTTGGTGGTCATGTTTCGTAGGAGGGTTTGTAAGGAGTGTAAAAAAAATAAAGCTCACATCGAATCAAAATAACTACAATTTGTAAAGGTAAACACATATAGTCGATCCAAGATAAATTTCGAATACAAAAAAAAAAAAACAAAATAGTCGGGTTCGGTCGCTAAAATGCAAACTGGAAGACATTAACGTGCAATAAGTCTAACACTAATGTGAATTCAAAGTGCAATTATTTTTTTATAAAAAAATATATATTAGTAACAATAGTTATGTTATAACGTGCAACACATTACTATACGAACTGCAACGCATTAATTTTTTGCACGTTAACATAATTGTTTTTTTTGTAGATGTATTTGTGATAAAGTGCAAGTATTGTTTTAAAAAGTGGAATATGTTGTTTTATAAAGTGTAACATTCCCTAAATAAAGTGTACTAGCTAATTTATACCTCCTGTTGACACCCGAGTTCGAGAGCCGAACCGGAGACCCGGTCCACTCATAAAGTGCCGAGCTGGACCGGAATATTTTTTGACCTAGACGTTCCCATGAGTCCGTCCGCCAGTTCGGCGTTTGCGACTATGAAGCCCCGATGCCGACCTGAAGAGTGACGGTCTGGAAGAAAGGTTCCCCAGAACCGGAGGAACAAGCAAAGAAAAGGTGCCGACTTGGAGTCTCAGGACGGGCCCCTGCAATGAAGGTGTCGACCTCGATAGTATTATAATAATGCCACTTGGAGGGTAATCATTGGCTAATGGATGGGACGCCCTAGCCTGTTGACCTACCTCCCCTAGCCAAGACATAAAGCCTGTCAGCATTAAATGCCCGTCAGACAATGATGAGGAAAACCTCAAATCGCATTAATTTCTGTCAGGGAGGCGCCGAACTACTCTGCAAAGAACACTGTGCGACAAGACCGATGAACAGTGTCACATTTAAGGCCACTATAAATAGCAGCCCATTTCATTTATTTTGGGTTGTTGAATCCCAACTACTTGTACTCATATTTTTTCTCTCTAAAGATCTGTAAGAAACTCTTGTAAGAAACCTCAAAGTATATCGCAAGTGCCGACCTCGTACGAGAGGCCGACCTCGTGATCATCTAATAAAACCGCAATTAAACCGTATTTCTTTGTCTTTCCCTTATTTTCTCTCCATTATTTAACCTTTTAACCGTTGACCGGAAACGCCCGTCAACAGTTTGGCGCTAGAAGGAGGGCATCATAAGTTACTTGGTGTCAACTTTTCGATCTTGTGAAACTCCACATCACGCTCATCTTTTTCCCACTTTTTCACTCTCAAAAGCAACTCAAAATGCCTTCATCTGGACATGACGATTCCACCCAGCAATCCGGCTCCCAGCCTCGCCGACGCAACGGCGGGGAGACCTCCCGTCGCGTCCAGCAGGGGCTCATAGTCCCTGTTTCCCCAGTTCCTACATTCGCTGCAGCTTTGCAGCATCCCGACGTCCTCAAAGCCCTCGAGGGGGTCTTCGCCAAGGCCCTCGCCAGTCAAACCGCCGGGGCAAACACTGTGGTACCCACGGAGAACCCCGGTAACACTTTGCTCCACACTCCTGAAAAGGAGACCGGTGGACAGAGGAACCCAGCAAAATCCAAAACCACGGCCCAATCGCCGAACCGCGAGGCTCAGAACCGTCGCGACAAGAGTACCAGACCGGCTCCCACAGAGCAGACAGGGGAGAGCCGGCCGGAGCGCAGCCTCCCGGTCGTTCGCCGCTCTGTCCACCAGCGCTTGGGTGACAAGAGCCACGCCAACCAAGATCTCCGGGAGGTGATTAGGCGGGGCAAAGCCATCGGCCACGACACTGAGGAAGTCGCAGCCCTCAAACGCAGAGTTGCCGAGTTGGAAGGTCGGCATCCCACCGGGAGTGAGTTTTCACTCCCAGCTCATCAATAAACCCGTACGCGACTGACTCCTCGGGTCGCGGATAACGCCTCACCTCTCTCCCTCGATATCCTGCAAGAGGCCGTCCCGAAGGGAATACAAATACCCCAGCTCGGCCTCTATGACGGGAGCTCGGATCCCGACTCACACCTCGGCCTCTACACTTCGTGGATGGACCTACACGGCGCCTCCGACGCCCTGCGCTGCCGCATGTTCTCCCTGACGCTGGGACCCAAGGCGCAGAGGTGGTACCATTCCCTATACCCCCGCTCCATTTCAACCTGGGCACAGCTCGGGTCGGCGTTCCGGTCCCACTTCATCGGATCGCAGGTCAATCTCGCCCCCAAGGAATCAATCTCCAACATTGTACAGGGCGAGAATGAGAGTTTGAAGGATTACATCGCCAGATTCAACGACCGGGTCCAAAATATGGAGCGATGCCACCCCGACGCCCTGCTCATCACGGCCCAGGGTGGCCTCAGACCTAAGACGCTGTTCAGGTGGTCCCTGTGCCAAAACAAGCCGACCACCTATCAGGAATTCCTCACTCGCGCTCAAGACTACATCATGGCGGAGGAGTCCTCATCCATCCCGACATTCGACGCCGCGCCGGCACCGGCGCCAGCGAAGGTGAAGGCAAAGGAGGAAAAATCAGGGAAGCCGAGCAAGTCATTCGCTGAGATCCGAGCTCAGCGGAGGCAAAGGGCTGAGGAACTGAGAGAAAGCTACCAGGGCGTCTTCTCGGTAGGAGCTGCGGCGGTCTACGAGGAAAT